CACACACACGCACGCACACCAGCACACAATTGTCCCCCCCCCCCCCCCCCCCTCCCCCTGCTGTGCTAGTTGTTTTTCTCCCTCGGCCTCGTCCCTCTCCCCGCACTCGTGTTATCAAGGTGAGGCGTCGCTAACAAGACAGGCTGCCTGCCTGACGTCTCTGGCGCTCTGCCCACCTGCAACACACACACACACACACACACACACACACAGGCAATGAAAAACGCACACCCGCTGAACCGCCTGCACTGCGGCGTGGCCCGGGGGCTCCGTGCACGCCGCCCGCCTCGTCTCTACATTAAGGCCTTCCAGCGCGACTCCTTGTTTTTATTTTGCTACAGGAACCTTTTTTCTCCCCCCCCCTCCCCCTCCTCCTGGCCAATTAGCTCCCAACAATGGCCGGTCTTGTTTATGAACTGTCTATTGAGTGACAATCCCCCGTCTCTTAATTAGGTTCTCAGCTACACGCCGGGCTGAATGGACGTCCACACGTGGAGAGAGAGACAGCGGCCTGCGGTGTGCCGTCTTTACAGGGTGCATCTTTTAATTGGGTCCAAATGCCGGTGGATAGAACAAAGACTTTGAGGCAAAGTGATAAAGTTGGAACATGTTGAGGGGAGAACAATGGCCAGCGGGAGACAGAGAAGACGAGTTCAGCAGGTTCATGCGCCGTGCTCCGAGGAGTTTAAATCCCGCCCCTTGACCACAGGATACTTTCCTAGTGTTTGTGAGTCAGAGATTTGAGCTCATGCTGTGTGTGTGTGTGTCTGTGAGTGTGTGTGTGTGTGTGCGCTTGTCACAGCTGTGAGGCCGGGAGTGACTGCTGCTCCACAAAGCACTGCGCTCTGCTGGGTTGCTCTTGGTAAACAAAGGGAACTCACAGCGCCGTGTGGCGATTACACAAGCTCTCCTCCAGCAGAGAAAGTAAAGGGAAGGAGCTCGTCGAGCGCTGCAGATTAGAGGAAGTCAGGGCAGCAGGGGGAACCGGGAGCTGCAACGGGGAGAAAATGACCCAGATGTGAAAAGCAAAAGCCGGGAACTTATTTTATTATCGGCCGTGTTAAAAGAGTTAGAAGATCTGTTTCTGCAGGCTCTCCTCCCGACTGTGATAGGGAAGCGGAGCAGAGCGCAGGAGGGGGGGTGGGGTGGTGGGTGTGGTGGGGTCGGGGGGTCTTTGCCAGAGGAGGTCAGCTGTGTTCGGTCACGGCAGAGAGAGAGGGAGGGAGGAGGGAGGGAGGGTGGGGGTGGTTGCTGCCGAATCACCGATCCAGCACTGTTGGCTTAGCTGCTTGTTGCCATGACAACGGGCCGCCTGAGCGCCAGATGTGTGCAAAGAGAGGGGAAGAAGAAGAATGGAAAGTGTTCAAATATGCCCCCTTGCCTCTGAGGGGGGGGAGGGGGGGGGCACTTACCTTTGCCGACTTCGGTGTCAAACGTTTGTGGTCATTTTTTAATGTGACACAAACACGGTGGACAAACAAAACAAAAAAAAGCCTCTGTGAAGCCCGAGACTTGGCGATGAACCGAGATGCTAACGTTAGTTTAGCTACATTAGCTTGAGCCGCTAGCCACACGAGCTAGCGTACGGTTGAGGTTGACGGGAATGTAACGGCGTCGCAGTTCTATGTCATCGGACAAACTAAAAGGCGCTCTGATGACGGCGTTAAGATGGAAAAGCCATTAAAAAAGTCGTTACAGACATTAATGTCCCGGCCAAATTTGAAATGCGGCCTTTCAACAGCCGAGGAGATCTTTAATCAGGCAGTTTGTGATGATCGTACTTATGTTAAAGTATAGCTCAATGAAAACGGTGAGCTCACGGGTAATCATTTGGTTAATTGCCTCTGTGTTCTGGCGTGAGCAGCTACTTGAAGTTGCTGGGGGGCTGTAGAGGGGGGGGGGGGGGGGGGGGGATCTGCTGCTGTTGCCATGCAGCAGGTGCTCGAGGTGCCAGTCAACACTAATTTGCCGTTGTTCTCTTCTCACGCAGCTACTTCATTCACTCAGTGACGCGACGCGCCACCACGGCACAGAGCGAGGGGGACAAACCCGAAAAACCAGCCTGCCGGGCGAGCAGGAGGAGAACGACGTGGGCCGCAGTGTTTTCATTGGCTTTCGCAGACATAAACAAGAGCCGTACTTGTGCGTGACCCCTGGGCCTGACCCCCGAGAGATAGACGCTTCTCTAATGGGTGTCTCTTTCAGCAGGCGGGCCGGGGCCGGGGGGGGCAACAGAGGAGCCATTGTTGTGGGGCCCGCGGAAAGCCGACGCTCTCCCCCGTTAAAAGCGCTGGGAATAAGGGGAGGGGGCCGCAGGAGCAGAGGAGGCGAGGTAAACAGCGAAGGAGACGGAGGGACATCTTTGACACACGGGGTTTAAATTGACGATAACGTCCCCCACCCCCCCCAAAAAAAAAAAAATACCTTCCGCTGAGATGACGCTAGTCACATGACTCAGATTGGTTTGACAGTTGGGACGGAGGGAAGCGGCGAGCGGCTGTGTACTCCAAACCGACCGTGACTCGGGTAGAGGCTGTTCTCTTTCAAGCACATTCTCTGGCACACTCTGTCATTGCGCGCATGTCTATGTGTTTGTGTTGAGGTGTGTGTGAGGGGTGGGGGGGGAGTTGCGTTGCTGCGAGTGGCCAAGCAGGTGTGTCAAGGTGTGAAACCGCACCTGGCGTGTATGACAATAGAAGTGCCACGCGTCGGCCCCTGAGGAGGTGACTGCGAGTTGTCTGGTGGGTTGAATAAAAAGAGCAACAAAGGGTGATTCTCAGTAACATTTTTATTAGGAATGAAGACATGTAACTCTTGAGGAGAACGTACTGTTGCTCCAAACCAGCATTAGACACCAAACTTTCCCCATTACATGCGTCAGAAGTGATCGATCACTCTCGTGATCCACGCTGCGGAGTGACTAATCCGCGGGATCGGCCTTCAGGAGGCGACGGCGAGAAGCACTGCGTTGTGTGAGGAGCTCCTCCGCTCTTCACGTACGCTCATTCAGCGGTCATGCAACACTCGGATGTGCGTGTGTGTGTGTGTGTGTGCGTCGAGGGCAGAAGGTGGTCATTAGAACGGGTCGGAAGCCCCGGTGCTCTCGCTGCTTTCATGAGCTAACGGCACAATACGACTCCTCAAACGAAAGGTTCGGGGTCAAAGAGGTACAAGTTGAGAGAATAAACTGTTTTCAGGTGTGAAATAGTTGTCGTGAGTCTATTTTGCAGGTCTGGCCGATGTAACTCGTTTGCTTTTGTAATACATTGAGGACCTGTTTTTCCCTCTTGTTAACATGGTGTTTGTTCCTGTAAAGACATAAACTGGATGCAACTTGACACCTTCAATAAAATTTTATTGAAAAAAAAAAAAAAAAAAAGTACCAATAAACAACAAGAAATCCAGGAAAAAGATTTGTAGAGCAAAGCTCCATATGTACAGCGTATTGCACTACAGAACAAATTGTCTTTACTTCCATATTATATCAACAACCAAAAAAAATATATAGACACAAAAAATGAGTGCACAGTAGAGTCTCGACAACACACAGTCAATGTTTACAAAATGCTACATTTTCGCTGGGTCTCATTTCTTGGTATACAGAGAGTGTGTGAATATCAAAGACTTGTTGAAACTGAGCAGTTAAAGGCATATTCCAGGGTTTTTAGAAATACATGTACACTTTATCTGTTCTTAAATGACGGGAAAATACTCCATAGCTCGAAGCGCGTGAGCAAGTTTACCGCAACCAGAGTTATTTTGGTTGGCTTGGTTTCGTCTTTACACCACGGACAGTTGTGCAAGGAATGTTGCAGGTTCATTTTTATATTAAAAATGCCCCTCGATCTCATGGACTTCAAAACAGGATCCTACTCGTATTCAAAATTATTTTACAAGCAACGAACTGTCCTTATAAAAGCACACCCCTTTTTCTTAAGAAAATACATTTTAAAAAGTTAAGAAAGACCATGAAGAAGAAATATAAAAAAAAAAAATCTAAATCAAAACCTTCCTCGAAAACTTCAAAATTGATATAAAGTGGACTACAAAATTCAAGACACTGACGGTTTCCATAAAACGCACGTCCCCCTCTGGGGACTCTCCACACCGAGTGTAGCTTGGGAACCTCATTCTGACAAAAGGACACCGGGCGCCACGGCGGCTCGTTTTCCCCTTTCCAATAAATCAAAAACAGGCCATCGACGCGCAGGTAATGCGTCCGACGCGCGGCAAGAGGAGCCCGACAGAACCATCCGGAGTATATAACAGACACGAGCGCACCACAGAAAAGGACCCGTGGGATCTACAGAAACAAAGTACTTTCCAGTGCATGTTGATTACGACACAATGATCAAGATTTAAGAATTAAACACACAAACAAAAACGCCTCGTGACTTAATATGAAGGCGGGCTTTTTGTGTTTTTGAAGCATCTCTAATGTCGTGTGTATGATTAGCAACGGGTGGGATGGTTAATGACTCATTAATTACATAGGAAAAGGTCATATCCTGCGAAACTGCGGCTTTTCTAAACCACATTTTCAGAATGCAGAGCCTCCAGGAGACCAGCGATACTAATAATAAAGAACAGTAGAATTTGAGCCGAGTCTCGCGTGGAGTTTTGGGTACAATACAGTCAGCTGAAGTTGCAAAAGAAAAAAAAAGGAATTAATTGCACACAAAGGTGTATACAGTAGAAATGGGCAAATGTACATAAATAAGAAGGAAAAAAAAAAAAAAATGAACCGATGAAGCGAAGCCAAGTGATGAAGGAGCAGCGCGAGGGAGGTGAAGCCCGTGAAGCGGCGGTGAGACGGGGCGCCGCGGGGACTGGCTCAGCGTTTCAGAATCCGCAGGAAACTACAACCACCACCTCATTCAGTGCACCACTTCACACGCCCACGTGCTCAGCGGACTCCTCCGTCACCACCGCGGCTTCGGACTTCCGTCTCTTCGGGCAAACCTCTAGGGGTTTTGGTGCTGCGACCAAATGGTTTTTTGGTTTTTTATTTTAATCTGATGGGAAAAATGAAAGAACTGACAAAACGCCTCGACAGACGTCGTCGTAAAAAAATTTAAAGAGAATGGGTGAAAGCGCTGCTCTCCTTCTAACCACGGCAGATTCTCGAGGTCACCAGTACCCGACAAAGTCTGTCCCTGAGAAATCTTTAATAGAATGAGAGGAAACCCCAATTACGCAGTGATAAACTTGACACGTCGTGACCACGGACCCCCGATGTCTTCTGCTCCCGGGGGTCCACAGCTCGGCTTCAGCCACGGGAAATATAACAAACAGCATCTTCAACAGTGTCTTTAAACATATTCATATTTCAACAATAGTTAAGTCTTTTTTTTTTTCTTCTTTTTTTTTTTTTTTACCATTTTGTTGTGAGCCGAGTGGTTTTGTCTACTAAGAATATGTCCCGAATCTGGATCTGAGCACCGAAGGCGACGCGAGATCACCCGACAGAATACAAAACGACGTAAAAACCTGACGAAGGCAGCCTGAGACGATCTGTTTCACTGACTGATTGTGCAGTTTTGTTCGGTGTTCACAAAACACACCGGCTGTGAAAACAGGATAGACACCTTTGTGTGTGTGTGTGTGTGTGTGTGTGTGCGGCTCTATTGCAACTCTGTCGTTCTAGAATCCAAATCCCAGACTGCAAATAGGCCTCCAGATTTGATTATTTGCTTTGGACATGAGAGTGAATAAATCTAAAAAGAAAAAAAACGCGTGTGGTGAAACAAAACAAGCCGTAAGTGAAAACCTTCACGCGGGACAGAGGTTAGCGCGGTAACAGTCTGAACCCTGGAAGGGTGTACGGCTAGTGCAAAAACAGTGGATCCACAGCTCCACTTCAAGGGCATGGAGGTCTGAAAACAATCACATGAAAAGTACACTTGGAAAACAAGAGGCGGGGGAAGTTGAACGGAGGAATTAGCATCTGGTCTTTTCACTGAGATTGTAAATAAAATCGTCCCTGTTGGAATTTGGACCCAATGCACTTTGCTTTGATGTTGTGATTTGGTGGACGGGTGTCAGACATCTGAAAACACGTCCTGAAGTCAAAGCGGTCTGTAATGAAGTACAGCAACAGGCGTTGGACCCGCTGACGCATCTCTCAATGTCATCATGTCAACAATAATGACAGTGACATAACGTCAGAGGGGAGTTGCATAATCACCAACTTCATTTTGATTACTACTGTTTACACCTTGAGATATTCATTCATTTTCACTGTTGACGATGCATCAAATTGATAATGATACCATACCAAAGAAAAGGAGTAACAAAGCAGAAACATGAAGCAAAATAAAGAAATATAAAAGGTTCCATTGAGGTGACGTGCAAAATGCTTTGTTCTGAGAAGTTGCCTCTTTGGGAAAATAGTAAATCAACTTGTCTGGTCGCCTGGGAGACTTCAGAAAAATGAATCCTCGCGCCACATTTCCTTTCCTCGTCTCGCCTCGTCTCTGAATTGCTCAATACTCATTCGGCAGAAGACACTGAATAAGGCATTCCCGGGGTCAGCGGAGGTCGATAAAGATGGATACATGTCGGAAGTGCAAAAAATGTACTGTACAAACTACTACTACACCACACGTATACCAAAATATGAACATGGGGGAATCTCGGCGCATCGTGGCATCTTCTCGGAAAAGAAAAAAAACAAAACCGTGTATAAAAGATGGTCGTCTCCGTCCCGCGGTGACCGTTTGTCTCCTGTCTTTTCTCCCCCAAAACAGACCCGTGTTAAATTTGACAGTGCCATTCGGAGTCCAGTTCCTCAGAGAGAGCGATGGGGAGACAAAAACCCCCCCAACCACTCCCGCCTCCCCTCCCCTCCCTCCCCTCACCTCCGTCCTGCTCCACCTCCCCGAGCGACGAAGCCCCTGTCGAACAGAGCGCTGAGCAGAGCCACGGCCAGGCGCCACCACGCGCCGCCCCGGTTCCTTTGGTTTCGGTGATACTGAAGAGACCAAAAAAAAAAAAGACAGAAACATTAAAAACTTGCAAATAATCCCCTTTAAAAAAAACAAAAGAAGCCTTTTCCCCCCCTGGTGAGCTTTGGGTGCGTGCGGCCCGCCGAGTGAGCCGATTGACAGTGAACACAGTGAAAAGGGGGTCAACTGAGGAGACGGTGAGACAAAAGCAAACCACCGGAACAACGCGGATATTTTCACAACAGTCAGCGACGATCCTTATTGTTGCTGCAGAATTCATGCATTTTATTTCACTTTATTGTATGAAATGTTATGATGTGAAGCACTTTGAGTCTGCCTTGTGTATGGAAAGCGCTATACAAATAAACTTGCCTTGCCTTGCCTTATTGGGGGGAGGGGGGGGGCTCCCTTTGCGTCAGGTAATCCCGGCACGATGCGGGCTCCCCTGACAGACCGGCACTAAACACATCCATCACGCGGCCACACTCGTTCTAATCTCCCTCGGCAGCCAAGGGGGGGGTTCAGGAGGAGACTCTCTCTCGAGTTTTTAGCAAGTCGATTGGATTGTGTGCGATTGGGCGGGAGGAGGGGTGAGGGGGGGGGGTAATGCTATCTCTGCCATTGAGAAGCTGAGATAAGGTAATTGCCCAGAATGGGATTAGGGAGCTCTCTGGAAAACACAACGTATCTGTACAGTAGTCCGACGAAAGGCAGGCTCCACCACGCCTGATAGTGCCGCCGCTATTTACAGACTCACAGCCGTAAACGGAGGGAGACTCGAGATTACCTCTCCGAGAAAACCCACCTTTTTATTTGTTTTGGGTTTTTTTTGCAAGTATATCCTTTTTCACGTGTAATTTAAAACATATTTCGATATTAGACATTGGCATGGCTGTTCAGGTGGTGTCCAAACATTGACCCAGTTGGCGGCTGAGAGCTGCCGCCGTGATAAGCCGCTCTTCACTCTTATCCTTGCAGGGTGTTGCATAAGCTTTGCCAGGTTGCAGCCAGCATGTGTGCACAATACTTGCTACTTGCTTCTCGTTCGGAAGATAAACGGTCTCGGTTAAAACCAGTTCTTTGTTTTATGACACGTCTAAATCTTGCCCGGGGATATTTTGATAACGACATAATAGCACAATGTCTGCTTCGTGTATACACAGTTAATATTTACATGGCAGCCAGCCTGGCTCGACTTGGCATGTCTTTGAAACTCTCAACTAAATTACACGAGAAAGCCCCAAACTCGGTCAATATGCGCAGCACCGAGCTTGAACATTAGACAGTAAAAGTGTCCAGCGTGAGATGAGTCAACGGAGCGATTTATCAGGCTACAAAGTTTGAGTCTTTAGCACAATCTACATGAGGGGAGATTACTCCTCATGAACAGAAACTGAACGTTGCTGTGACCTTTTGCACTCCACCAAGAGAGAGAGAGAGAGAGACAGAGAGACAGACAGAGGCAGAGGGAGACTCATGAGTCACGCTACCAACTGTCAACGTGGGACTCGTGCTCTAAAAATCGCGGCGGCGATCGCGGCGGAGTCCAGCCAGATGTCGTCACCCCCGTCGCGCTCTATCGGCGTGTCCCTGTGTGGGGGACTCACCAGCTCCGCCTTAACCGCTGAGCAAACAGGCCTGTCCCGAGATCGGATTAGTCATCGAGTCAGGGAGGGGGCGAGGAGCCGGGGGGGGGATTATAAAGAGCGGTGGTATCGGGTAATAGCGAGTCACGTAAAAAGGGACGTGGCGGTGAACAAACATCAGCACAGGACAATGACGGAAAAGTAAATATCCAAAGCTGGCTGCGTGTGCTTTTCATTTCCAGCGCAGCTCCACCCCTACACCACCCTCCTCCCCCCTCCTCCCCCCCTCCACCCACAAGTGCTGAAAGGGAGAGAGTGCCGTGTCCTCACCAGAGCAGTGAAAGGAGACGAAGCCACAAGCGCTGCGTGCGAGCAGACACACACGCGATATTTAACCCGGCTTTCAACACCTCCCATCCAAACCACCGGGAGTCGTCCCTCCTTAAAAAAAAAAAAAAGGCACACGGGGATGAAACCAAACTCTGCTCCTCGCCCTGTGCGGACCGGAGCGGCCTTCTTGCCATTACGGCCTTGTCTCAAATGCCGGGGGTGGGGGTGGGGAGGGGGGGGGGGGCTAATGCCCGGCCTTCTCTGGGGGACGAGCAATTTATCTGTCAGCAGCCACCAGCGCTCCTTCCCCACCTAATCCCTCATTCCGCCGGTGGGGGGGGGGGCTCGCTGCCACACGGCCCCCACGGTCCATCAAGAGGACGCCTGTCAAGAGGCACTTGGGGAGGCTCGGGGACGAGCGTCCGCGCGGGAATAACTGGGAATAAGTCACCTACCGCCAGGGGCAGCGAAACGTCTGAAAAACAAGTATGGGTGTGTTCATGCAACACGGGACACACACGCGTGCGCGTCGCGCGATGACACTAATCGCACAAACCAGAAGCTGGAAATAGCGACCACAGGCCGAGGTGGAATCACACTTGGGGGTTGTGAAAAAACGTCCCCCGCGCTCGCAGCCGGGCCACACGGCAGCGACTCGCTCTCACACCCGCGGCTCCGTGTACGCCGTCTCCCGTCTCAGGATACGAGCTCCACGGACCGTCCTCCCTGCTGGTTACTCAACCAGCAGCGAACGGCACAAGCCACTTCCTCATCCCCCCCCCCCCCCCCCCGACCCCCCTGACCCGGCCTGCCACGGTTGCGCTTCAGTGGACCCGAGTCGCACACCGACCCACAGACGCACGCACGCCGACAGACAGTCTGTCTGTCTGTCTGTCTGTGTCTCACTCCCACGATGAGAGAGTCATGCTGAGCTGCAGGGGGTATAAATAACTCAAAGTGCATGAGAAGATTGGACATGGTCTTGCACTTCAGAGTTGGCGGTAAAATAAAAATAAGTGATGTGACGTTTTAAGACGGCTGAAGACGGTTCTTACTCGATCATTTGTGGTCATTTGTGTGACTGTTATGACTCCTGTGCTCATATACGTGCTCATGCCATCATTATGAAGCCTAACCCCCCCCCCGTGGCTGCGTAGACCCTTTTATTTGAGTGTCTCCTGAGGCCGCCTCTTGCCAAGGGAAGGGGTCGGCTGGTGACTCCCTGCGACCACAGCTGTCTCTCTCTCGGGGGACGGTGGGGGGGGGGGCGACTCCGCCTGAACTTCCGGTTACAACGTGTTTACCTCCTCCGCGCCACTTCTGCTTATTCCTGGACGCAAGAATGTGCACGTGCCCGTAGGTGCGCGCGGCTGGACTGGTGTGCCACTACACACTCTGCAGGAGAATCGAACACGCGCGCGCACACACACACACACACACAGTGCGTCTCCGTGTGCGACTCTCCCCCCCGACGGAGTAGCGGCAGTGTCACCCTTGACCACTGTTGCAATGTGTTATATAAAGGGCAGGGGTCCTTCCGCGGCGGCTCGGGGGCCCCACGCGCGCTGAGCGAGAGAAAGAGAGAGAGAGAGAGAGAGAGAAATTAACACGGATGAGGAGGCAGGGGGGAGGACCTCGGCTGAAGAGGTGGGGTAAGGGCAGTCTTGTTCAGCAATGTCTCTTGCCTGGAGGGCAAGGAATGAAGGAAAGGAAGGCGAAACACTGCGCCTCTTTAACTTCTGCATGGTGCGCTGTCTCTCCAAAACAAACTTCAAGTCAGATCACCGGTGGATCCAAATATATACGTTTGTAAAACTGTGTGAATGTCGTCGTTAACGTGTGGACGCTTTTAGACTAAAACTAAAACTGAAAGCATTGTCCATTTGAGCCCGGCGCCCCGGTCACAATGAGCCATAAGCACAAAGTCCGGCATGAAGCAGCTCCTTGTAATCCCCATTGACACAATACACCCAAAGAAAAAGTCTCTCCTCCACCTTCAAAAGAGTTTGTGTGCAGTACTACTCCGAGTGGCTCACATGTCTCCTGCATAAGAACTAATGGGGAAGAAGGGGTGGGGTGGGTGGGGGGGGGGGGGTCAGAGTCTGATTTTGATAATTGCATTTCCTTCTGGTTTGAAAGTTGTTACTTTGCCAGCACATATTGAAACTATGCAAATGAGAAGGATGCATTACTTTTTCCAGCCGGTGGTCACATGTAGCAATTTATTGCCTCTAAAAATAAAAAATAAACCTTCGTCGGTGGCCGGTCGCACTCGTGCACGTCCGCATATTCATCAGGATGCACGTTTCCTGCCTCACCAGTTGCAGGTGTTGCCGGTGGAACTGGTCTCCGATCAGCTGGAGCTTCTGGCCGATGCACGCCTCCACGCTGCGGCCCGCGGGCTGCTGGCGCGGCGGCCGCTCCATCCCGCCGCGCTGCCCTCCGGCCCCTCGCGGCCGCGCTTCCTGATCCCCGACGAGCTCGAAGTTGGCCGGGAAGTGCAGTCGGAAAGCCGCGTTGCCTGCGGAGAGAGTCAAGGCCGAGACTTACGATTTCGCGCACACACAGCGCCGGGTGACAGTGCCTTTGAGCAATCACATCGTTTCGCTTTTTAAAAAAAAAAAACACACAACTTTCCCGGATTTGTGCTGGATTGTTTTTTAATAATCAAACCCTGTGAGTCACTGTGTGCTTGGTTAGTCACACACACACACACACACACACACACACACAAACAAACAAAGAGCTCGCTTGACCCAGATTTGAGGTCAGCGAGTTGTCATGGAGCTTCCTTTGGAATGATTGCCGGTATATGACGCCAATGCAGCTTTACAGTCACTTCCGCGCTCAGCCGCCGGTCACGCAGGTGAGCGTTTCTCTCACGCCGCGCTGCCGCCGGTGTGGCGCCTCTTGAACAGCAAAGCAGCTGCGTACACTCGGCCATAAAAGCCTCTGCGACCCCGCGACTGCCGGGCGCCGGCGCGATGTGGCAACCCTTGCTAGCCGTTTCTCACGGCCGGGTCTCGCATTATAGTTTCGTGCTCGAGTTTTATAACGCCGGTTATCACGCACGGGGCTTTTTTTTGTTTTTGTCGTTTGTAGCCTCACCGTAGAAGAGTTGTCTGGGCTCCTCCGCGACCCCACAGGGCAGCATGCCGTTGTCGGGTGCCGGGGCGGGGCCGGGTGTCTGCGTGCCCCGGTCCTGGCACTTTACCTCCCTGAATGCGGTGCGCCAGCAGTCGGGGTCCGGCTCAAACACATCGTCCTCCTCGTCGTCCATGCGGGGGGAACGCACGACGGGCGGCCTTGAAAGCGACACGGAGGACAGAGGTTAGCGCTGCAGCCGAGCGCGCGTCGCGCGCTGTCAGCGTTCCCGGGCGCCAGTGATGGTGGCGGCAACCTGATGGGATGATCTCAGACACGTTCATCGTTAATACGGACAACTTGTCTGGTTCATAATGACCGCTTTCAAAATAAAACCACATTGGACACGGGCAAGTAGGGGGGAAGAGAGAGAGAGAAGAAGAAGAAAAAAAGCGATCTGCCTTCACTTGTGGCAAAGAGCTCAGTGCTTATTTAGACAAATGGCTCTGTTCATCTCAGCGATGAAACCACACGATCCGCTGCGGTCGGGAGGCTCGGCGGAGCCACATCTACACGAACGGGAGTGAGGGGCAGAATCGCTCGTCTGTTCTGAGCAGCTCGGGCCTCTTGAATAACCGTGTAATTGCGCCTGCTCGTAGTAATAAGATTGGGTACTTTTTACTCGCAGTAGTTGCCAGTTATCAGCGCTCTGTGCAGATTTAAATAACTTGGACACGGACACGGTGTGTGTGTGTGTGTGTGTGTGTGTGTGTGTGTGTGAGAGAAAGGGAATAATTAAGATGCATGCTTTTAAATATTTAAAAGCGACTCCGCTGAGAGCCTGGAGGGGCACTTGGAGGGAAATCTCTCCAGTGACACCGGCGCACTCGACCTTGAATCTCACGCCGGGTCAGAGAGTTATCAAAACACGGCTGAAATTCAAGTGGCCTCAGCAGTTAGCAGCAGCCCCCCCCTCCCCTCCCCTCCCTCCCTCCCTCCTCCTCCTCCTCCCCCGGGGTCAAAACGGAGTTGTAATACAGGGTTAGGCTACTACCACACTTCCAAATTAGGGCCCAGGGCGAAGCGGTAATGACAGTCTTTGAGGAGAGCCACTCTCCCTGCACTGGTCCGCCAGCTCCTCGCACTCCTTCACCCGAACACCAGCAGATCGGCCGGCCCCCAGCGTGCACGGCGCGCGCGTTCACACCGCACCGTGCGTGCGCGTGCGCGCGTGCACGAGTGTGCGTGCAATGCTTTGCCTCGACAAACAAACAAACAAGAGTAAGAAACGTGGAGAAAGAAACACTGTGCACACAGCCTGGATGTGTCAGACGGTGGCTCCCCCTGCCGCAAATACGCCTGACAAAAAGAAAGAGGAGGGGGGGGTTGTGTGTATGCGTGTGTGTGTATGTGTGGGGGGGGCAGCTTGTTATTGACAGCTTCCAACCGCAACAATATCAAAAGACTCACGTTTCATCATTTAGGCGCTGTAACATTTTTGAAGGAAACGAGGCCTCGACGGCGAACGAAGCTCGCGAGGAGTTTAACGCGCGCCGGTTTGTGGAAACGACACAAATAATAAACAACAACAACAACAAAAGGAAGAGAAAGAAGAGCGGAGACGTGAATGACGTCGTGGAAGTGAAAATGAGATGCGACGACGCATGTGCGCCGAGAGAGAGAAAGAAAGAGGAAAAACAAAACAAAAAAGTTGGAGAATAAGTGACGAGCCGTCGGTATTTAAAAGGAATAATGACACGTTGTGACCACGTCACGCGCGTTGAGTGGGTTCAACGTCGGGAGAAACCGGCTGTCACTGCGTGTCTACGCGGACGGGGACAACGGACCTGCGGTTCACCGGAGAACCGGGAAAACCGGTCAACTTCAAAACCGCGTGAACGACCGTCGGAGGTGTGGGGGGGGGGACGTGCACCCCGAGGACGGACATTTGGGGGGGTGTTTGAGGCGCTTACCGCGGAGGTGGGCTTCGTCGTGAGGGTCGTCTTGTACTCGGGAAAATAAAAAATAAAAAGAAGTAAAAAAAAAAAATTAAAAAAATGTAAAAACAACACAGGTTCAATATCCCGGCGTGCAAGCGGGTTTAGTCCGTGTCCCCTCCGCGAGGACGTCCATTCTGTGCGGGAAAAGGCAGTGAGCCGGTTGCATTTCGCCGATGTCAGCGCCGAACTGACTCCGCCACCGGGGCGTGGTGCGGGGAGGTGGTAAATAAAAGCCCTCCTTTAAAAACGCGAGTGCGTCTCTCGTCCATCTATATACGTCTTGGCCGGCGCGTGGCCCTTTAAAAGAGGGAGGGGGGGAGGGTGGGGGAGCGCGACGGGGCGGGGCAACGCGCCGCGACCAATCGGCGGCTTTGTTTTGGTCCCGCCTTGTCCGTCGCCTCATTCGGGAACACGTGGACAGGAAATTCCCCGTGCTCATCGAGGGATTCACCGCGAAGTCGAGCATTTTCATTATGAGCGGAAATTACCCAGAACTTGTGCTGAAAGTGGCCTAGATTCTGATCCGTATAATCGGGCGTTTGCAGAAGAAATGCGTGTGACCTCAAAGAGAAAGATCCCTCTTCACGCCATCAGTCTTAAGAGAGGCTCAATGAATGACGGCCCACCAGCCAATATAACCTCAAACTGCTCACATCTTGACAGCCGATGCAGGTGCTGGTGAGCTGCCTCCTCCCCCCTTTAACTTTAACTTATCCACCAAACCTTCGGACCAGCTGTAGCTGACCCCCAACCTCCCCCCTCTGCCCGGCCTCTCTCACAGAGCACCACCCTGTCCCCACTTCCCCCTTTTTTCTCGCTCCCCCCACGTCCCTCAGCTGTGATCATGCCACCGGTGGGATGCGTGAGAAGTCACGGGTCTCTGCCCCCCTCTGTCCTGCCTGAATTGGGAAAGACCCTTGGGTTCAGCCTCGGCCCCACCTGCGGCCTTTCCAAAGAGGCGGTGGGAAGCTGTCGGGGGCGGGGGGAGGGCGGGGGTTGTTTTTCTCGCTCACTGTGATATTGGAAACTCGATCACTTCCTGCATGAGTGACCACTGTAAACAACAAAAGGCGGAAATATGTGGCAGCATTAGTTTGCAGCTTCCTTTTGTGCTCCGGTCAAACAAAGGAGACCCCCCTCCCGACTTAACAGACCTTACAGAAAGCACCTGTAATCACTAAAGTGACCGTCACAGTCTTTACCGGTGAAACAGAATCTGAAGACCTTTTCATGATAATTTGTCTGCGTTAGACTGGTTCATTTCTTGAAAGTCTTGAAATGAAATATTAATGACAAACAAAGTATACTACATAGTACATATAGTGTTGTTGACAGTACATATATAATACATAAGTGCTTCATTAACATGCATTCGCCTGTGATGTATTAGCATCTGAGAGCAGCTACAGAAATCATTGAGGCCATATGCAGCTCTCTGCGGGACACATACCGACCTCTGTAAGATAAATAATGAATACGGATAAATTCACTGCAGCTCATACCACTCTCTAGGAACATGGATTTCACATTTAGAAAATTGTTGTCTTAACTAACCGAGCCATGGCTTTGTGTTGATGAAAGACATGTCTCAAAAGTATTTGAAGTGCACACCCACAAGCATTATATTTAGACACTTAAGCCAGGCAAAACTCACAGCATGTAATACAGTGACAAACATCTGTCAATTTCTCTTCCTCCAAAGCGGAACAATCTTGTCATTGACTTGTGTTTGCATTGCGGAAAGCAGCTGCTCACAAATAAGTTGCCATTTTTCCTTAGAACCCTCAGAGAAAGAGAACTGACATCATTTTATGTTACACCAGAAAGTTATTTCTAAAGAGCATTGCATCCACTGTACACTGGCACAAATGCATGCACATACCCGTGCACGCAAATACAAACACACACTTGGCTGCACAATCACATGCCCTACTTCCTCTGTATCCTCAAAAGCCACTTTTCCCTCCTGGTAGCCCCTTCTCTGCACGTGCACACGCGTCTATTAGAAACACACCGCCTGTCGCCCACCAAAACGTTCCCCGGCATGTGAATCCTGCCCGGAAACCCGAAAAAGGAGGGATTTCATTTGCTCCAACTTGACACATTGCATGGCAACCACATCCTGACTGCGAGCCAGTCGGATGGAGCACATGCGGCACACTGACCCAATGACAGAGAGCATGCTGGAGCGGCGACCTGAAAACAAAGGGAGGCTTGCTTCTCTGCCCTCTCTGGCAGCCCTCGAGTCAACTCCAGCTGAAGAAACCCGCGAAGATATCACTGGAATTCTGGTATTTCAGCCGGTAATCTGACAGTGTGTGAAATTGTGAGGTTGAGAAGTTCTTTTTTCTTTTTCTAACGATGCATATTGCAAATACCAGCAGAAACCAGAAGAGGAGAAATGCCCCTTTTACAATAACTCAATTTTTCAACTTATTGTCTTTAACACAATACTCGCATGTGACGGCTAGAGGAAGGAAACACACATGGTGAAACTGTCTTTATTTTCTGTCAGGCTATCACCCCTAAAGGTCTTCTCGGGTGAAGCCTGATTGAGTAATGCAGCAGGAGAGGAGAGGCGGCGTGCGGGTGATTTTGTGCTTGAACCCAACCTCTTGGATGAATTGTGAAGGTGAGGCTATAGTTGTGAGAGCAGCGACACCCGATCGGAGCGGCGTAACCGAGAGCGCCGACACAAACGGGCACCTTTGAAAGGGCTGTCTGGGATTCATACGTCCTCGTCTGGCCGCAGACGACCGGCTGATCACAGGGACTCACTTACACACCTCTTAACAAAACCCATTCTAAAGAGAAACGTAGACTGATGGAGCCTTATGTGTTGTGAGTCAGTTACTCATCCTTCAGTCTATGTGAAGACAAAGACACATTCACTCTGACATTTTCCGTGAAACAAAAAGAAAATTGAATTTTTTTTCTCCCTTTTTTTTAAATATCCAATGAAAATACCAAAATCAACAACCAAATGTCTCTTGTGACTCCAGTCAGTCACCACTGGGTGAGTTCATTTTGAGTCGACCACACAAACAAATGAGACGCGTTCATCTCGTTCATTCATTTCAGCTCGCTGAGGCTCTCCCTCGTGGGAAAAGAGGGAAACTAAACCATTGCGCTCCCTGTAACTTCTCATGGGCCGACCCTTCGCTGAACCCACCGCTGCAGTAGCGTCGCCCCGCACGCTACGTCGTAGTCTGCATCACACATTGAAGTCCAGAGACACACAGACTGCAGGTTATACTTTCATGTCAAGCGAGAATAATCAATTGAAAGGGCCCAATCTTCAAGTTCCGCCGACACTTTGCCCGCCGGCTACTCGCAGGCAGGAGCGTTCCTCCAGAGGCCCCCCGGGGCCCTCACTTAATGAGACCGACTGGTGTGTCAAGCTGTTCTGCTCGCTCTGTGAAGAACACACGGCCGTGTGTGTGCGTGTGCGACGGCAGCACTCGCACATGAACATGCAAACAGTGGATAAGATTGGCTCACCGCGTGGGAGAGCTGACAAGTTATCCCGCTTCCACAGAGGCGCCCTGTTTAATCTGCCCCCCCCCCCACCCCCGTCCTCCTCCTCCTCCTCCTCCTCCCCGACATTAAAGCCACGGCGCCTCAAAGCGGCGGGCTACGTCCTACCCAGTGGTGTCCACAGCCATGCGGTGAAGAAGGATGGGCTGGAGACTTGGAGACAGCGCACCATGAATGAGTCATGGGTTATGACGATCCAAAGAGCCCTCAAAATCCAGCACGGGCCCCTTTCGCGCGCACACAAAGGGCTTTTCTGCAGCAATAAAGGCGTCACACTGGCCCGTCGACGCTTTGAAATGCTGATATTGTTTTCAACGGGAGGTTTCGTCATGCTTTCAACATCCCACGGAGGTGGTGATGAAAAAGAGATCAAATAAATGTCCCCGAGGGGCTTAATATTCTCACACTCGTTGTTTATCATTCAACGATTTAAATAAGGCAGATTACAATCAGTGTTCTTGGCTTTCAGGACAGTACGGAACCACCACGGCCGTATCAGGACGGATTTATTTGCTAAGTTAATTAACTGTGGATGGCGCGAACGAGGCCCGCTGCTGCGCGGAGGTCCAGCTTAGAGGCCTGCAAGCAGTGTAAGGAAAAAAAAATAAAAACATTAATGGCATCCATCATCAGCTACTAATTATGCTGCCTATGGGCCCCGATTGGATCCGGTTACAGCTTTGGGCTCCAGCCACCAAACACTTGGCATTCATATTTAATCACACCTCATTATCCACCAACAATGTAGGAAGGAGACAGAGACATACCTGATACGCCAGACAGACACGGTCAAACATACAGACAGAAGAGAAAATGTCACACAAAACGACAAACGGCCACCTGCGAGGACGAACGAATGGCGGCTATTCCAAACCCCCCCCCCCCCACCCCCCTAAACCAAAGAGGTCTCCGCTCTTGAAGTGACTCAACCTCTTTGATGAGAGGTAGCGCCCCCAATTCTGTGCTTTCTCAGCAACTTTGTCCTTTCATGTGAGCTCCTTTTTTCTTTTTCGGCGTTTTCTGGTTCAAAGAGCAGCAAAAGCAAACAGCGGCTAATCCTTTATCCTCACAACAACCGGCGCTGTGTTGCCGGGTTATCAGCTTAGAGTCATCGTGATGTCACACTCTTCAGGTGTAAGTAGTCTGATGTTGGACATCAAACATGACTTTGGTCTGCACCAGGACACCTGCCCTTGCGGGTGAACCAGTTTCACGATGAGTGATCAGTGTCCCGTGTGGGTTTTCACGTCTCCGTCGAGAGGTCTTTGTTTCGTCGTATCTGCACGAGCAAAACGGCCGTCAGCGCGAGTTGCCGTATCTGATGTGCTTCGGCAAGTCCTTTCTGCAGCCGCTCTGTGCAATTTGTACTTAACACGTGGTGCGGGTAATAATCCCGGCGCTCGTGCGTGCAGATCCAGGGGTTCTGGCCAGCGGAAACCGAGAGAAGCCTTTTAAAAGAGGCAGGAGCTATTACACAGAAAAAACACTGCAATATCTGGTTTCTTCAAGCTGTGGAGCAACACATGAATCTGATCCCCTGTGATGGATTTCTCCCTTTATGATTTTGTGATCCCGAGAGTAAAAATTAAGAACTGATCTTCTTAAGCCCTTACAAAGAGTGTATCGCATAGATTGTGTAGATGCAAAGATGGAAACTATTAACAGACAACTGCAGTTGACATATTCCTTAATCGGTATATTTAATGTCTTGTCTTTTCATATTATTTTGAATAGTC